AAAAAAAAAAAAAAAAAAAAAGAAGATACTGACAGCTCCCGACCTCAGGGAATTCACAGGCCCTCCCTAAGGCCTGTGTTGATTGTGATGATCTGGGAATGTCTTTCTCTGCTCACCTGCACCATCCTTCCCCCAAACCCCTGAGCAGAAGACCTCATCTCGTCACCCTCCCCCACCCCCAGCGCACAGCCAGCTGCTCCACCGAAAACCTTAAGAAGCAGAGTCAGCACCCACTGTGCCTGAGACCTGAAAGTGAGCTCCTGCCAGCTGAAGCCATTTTCACGCAGTACTTTCAAATTAACATTAAAAGAAAACGATTAAAATACCATTTTTTCAATAACTCTAACACTGGGTGGTCCATTTAGGAAAGACTGTTATTTTCTTTTGGGATTTGCTCTATCTAGGCAATTTTCCACAGTAATTGTTTTCTACTTCTGTAATTAAAAAAGACATAAATACAGGGGAACCCAGAAAAACCCAGAATTATCTATTGGAGGGCAGGTCCCTTGTAGTACAGGCTTGCCCCACTAGGTAAGTGTTCCAGGAACCCATCAGCATCCATGTACAAGCTAACGTTGTTGTGAGAAGCTATGTTTGACTTCAGTAAATATTTTTTTGGAGATTCTTTCAACACATTTGCCCATTTCATGATGGGTGATTTACCCATACCCTACCTTCCCTATTCACCCCATCTTGCTCCAAGAGACTTTTTTCTGTTTCACCAAATGAAAAAAGTCCTCAAAGGGAAACATTTTGCCAATGTAAAAGAGGTGAAAGCACTAAAAGTCATCAAAACTGACAAGTTCAAAAAGTGTTTCGAGAGGTAGAAAAAGCATCTCAATAGATGTCATGCATCAAAGGGAGTGTACTTTGAAGGTAACTAAGTTTAAACATGTAAGAATAAATATACAGTTTTTTTATAAATAAATTCCAGGGTTTTTTGGGTCCCCCTAGTATAATGAGAAACGCATGTACTATCTATTTTAGGGTCTAGGAAGTCTGTTGGGCCACCTATCACACCAGCCACTCCTAAAGTCACAGCCCAAGTTCTGTCACTGTTGCCTGCCCGCCACTTCCACACTGACTCCTGCAAACGTTCCTTAACACGGCAGCCAGAGGGACCACACCTTTCCTCTGCTCAGAACCTTCCAGTGGCACCCATACCCCAGGGTTATGGGTAAACAGGCTCCGCACTATCTGCCCCACCACCTCTCTGACCCTCTCTCCTCCTGCTCTTCCTTATTCCTTCCTCATTCCCACCACTCCAGCCACACTGGCCTCTTGAAGTACCCCAAGTCCTCCAGGCACACTCCTGCCTCAGGACTTTTGCATTTGCAATTTCCTCGGTCTTAAACACTCTTCCCACAGATATAAGTGTGGTTTGCTCATTTTTCCCCTCAGGTTTTTGCTCAAAGGTCACTTTCACAGAGAGGACTTCCCAAGAACACCCTATTTAAGACTGCAACCCATCTCCAACCTGAAACTGTGAGATTTCCTTTCTTCCTTTATTTTCTAGAGAACACCTACCACCCTCAACATAATTCCTAACTTATTTTTCTATACATGCCTTGTCCCTTCTCATCATTAGAACATGAGTTCCACAGGGTCAAGAATTTTGCCTCTTTTGGTCTGCATCTCTAGTCCTACAATAGTACCTAAAATGTATGTCACTACCACTCAATAAATATATTTCATTGAATGAAGTTGACATGACTGGGAACCCAATCCTCTACGATAAAGACATCAGGCATAAGAGAGGTGCGGCATCTAATAATCCCAGGCTAACCTGAAATACAGGACAAGACTCCATTTGTTTTCCAACAGACTTCTGGATAAAATATTGATTTTTTTTAAAAGCATGCTTGTAAAACCTGTGCCGAGGGATGGAAACTCACATACCTGTCCCTCCAGAAGAGACACAGGAAGGTCATACCTCGATTTTCAGGCTGTCGTGTTCCACTGTAAAGTCAAGTCTGGAAGGTGCCACGTCAAAGGTAATTCGTTCCCCTCTATAGAATGGAATCTGGAAGGAAGAGTCTGTTCTTTACTAAGAACCAATAATATGATTCCATCATCAGTACTAATAATTGATCTAGCAGCCTACAAATGACAAGGCTTCAGGACAGGCCAAGACATTAAGCCTAACCGTTGCCAGTTTTAGAAAAGGAAGCTCTGCCAGACTCAGTGGCTCAGCCTATAATTGCAGCACTTAGGGAGGCCAAGGCAAGTAGATTGCCTGAGACCATGGGTTCAAGACCAGCACAATCAACTTGGCAAGACCTCGTCTCTACAATAAAAAAAAAAGAAAAAGAAAAAGAAGCTCTGCATTTTTGCAGCTATGACTAAGGGTCACATCTTAAGTTACTGCTACACAGAGTGTTCATGGAACTGTAGGCCAACCATCCATTTCTTGAATACCCAAGGGCTTTGGCTCTTACTGTGTTGTAAGAGTCTCAAACAAACAGCACGGAAACCTGCCGCACTCACCACAGTATAGCCCCCGCTTGGCAGGGAATAGAAGGAGAAAGAACCATCTTCTTTGGAGACTGCGTAGCACAAATACACCAGGCTCTCGTCTTGGGGCTGAAACCCTGGCACTGGTGAGATATTGCAGCCCAAGACATCCTATGCAAGGGGGAAGAAATTCCTTTCCATTACCATTAATAGCTACACCACAAAAAACCTTCAAAAGTTTTACGTCAAAACGTGTAGTTCTGAAATATAGGGCATATTAGTGTCATATTAGAAGGAACAAATGTGGGCCACAAATCAGATTATGTACATAAGTAGTTTATGGGCAGGTGAAGTTTGGACCCCTAACTGGTCCTTACTTCCCCAAATTAGGGTCAGGTACCCTTAGTGATGTTGCATTCCCCCACCCCCGGATCCCTCTCTTATAGTATTGTGATGAATGTTTAGGACCCACTAATAAGTGAGAACATATGGTATTCGGTACTTTGTTTCTGTGATAGATCACTGAGTATGATGGACTCTAAATCCACCCAAGTTGCTGCAAAGTAGAAGGAACAAATATCCTTGAACCCAAGCTGAAAAGCTACACTCAATCTTCTTGGGAAAAATACATGACTGTCCTTCCCTACAGTGGGTTGCCATTCTCCAGATAAGGAGGCAGAGGCTCGGAAGGTGAGGTGCCTGGCCCAAGATCACACAGCCTGGAAAAGGCTGAAACTGGGGTTTGTTTACAACCTGAGTCTATCTGATGTCAAAGCCTGTGTACTTTCCACCAAATACTACTGCCTCCAGTGTAGACAAGTAACATATTGTGAGCCAACAGAGAAACACAATATTCTTAAATGTTAAGACAATAAATCAACCTAGACATGCATTTTCACAGTATATTCAGGTCTATAACCCCCCATCCTCCTACGTTCCTCAGACACAAGCTCTTTTGTTCTTTACTTTTCCACGCTTACCTCTTTGACTACTGAAGAAGAAAAGAGAAGAAACTTCACTCCTTTCATGGGCTCCCCATCACTTCGGACAGAGCCAGACACATTGTAGCCAGCAACGATGAGGGGACTGGCCGCATTGGCATTGGAGTTGGTCACACGCACTGTAGTGCTCGCCTAGAAGAGGAAAAGATTTCAACTTCCAAAAAAAACACCTGCAAAGTCGCTAACAACATGAGGATGTGCTTCAGCTAAAATAGCAACTGGGAAAAGTCATGTACAAAAGTGCTTATCTAGTATGATCGCAACGACTTTCAACACCTAAAATGAAGTAAAAGGAAATGAAAAATGCAAATAATGATTTTGTGTACATGTTGATATTTCACTTCTATTATTTTCCACCTTCTAAAATTTCTAACTTTGTTTCTATGGCTTTATACTCCCCTATGTGTTTCAGTTTTTTTGTTTTTAGTTTTTTTTTGAGTTGGAGTCTCACTCTGTCGCCCAGACTGGAGCGTAGTGGCCGCTTCCAGCCACCGCAGCCTCGACCTGCTGGGCTCCGGCGATCCTTCCGCCTCAGCCTTCCGAGTAGCCGGAACTACAGGCGCGCACTACCACGCCCGGCTGATTTTTTGATTTATTGTAGAGATGAGGTCTCGCCTGCCCAGGCGGGCCTCAAACCCGCAGGCTCAGGCAATCCCCTCACCTCAGCCTCCCAAAGGCGCGGGATTACAGGCTGAGCCACCAAGCCAGGCTGTGTTTCAGTTTTTTAAAATGAGAGTATTTTGCTTTTTCCTACGTTTCATGAAGTAGATTGTTAAATGATGTTTAGCCTAAAGCCGCCTCCTTACGTAGTTTCGTAAGTCTGGCCTACAGCTGTCTCTGCACATAGTGAACTGTAACCTAAGGACATGTAAGCAGACTGCAACCCACTCTTGTAACAAGTAGCCAGGGTCTCAGCCAATCCCAGCAGTCGCCCTTCAGCCCTTCACAGAGTCTCACCCAACCCCAGCAGCCGCCCTTCAACCTCTCACAAAGTCTCAGCCAATCCCAGCAGCCGCCCTTCAACTCCTTATAGGAGGCCAACTGTTCAACAGTCAAACAAGACGCGTGCTGAGCTATAGCCCATGCAACTGTCTTCATACAACCCGTATATTTTCTGTAGTCAACTCCTTTCTAAGCCCATAATCCTCTCCAACCAGCACCAGGGTAGCTCATAAACCTATCATGGGTCAGGGGCTGCCTGATTCCCAAATCCTTCTTTGCTTAATTAAACTGTTAAATTGAATTTGTCTTAAGTTTTTCTTTTCTGCATATATTTTTAGACTTCTTTGTTAAAGTGCAATTTACACGGAGAAACGTACACATGCCCTAAGTATACAGCCCAGTGACTTTCACAAACTGAATATTCATTCTGAGAGACCAACACCCAGAAACAGAACAGCACCAGCACTGGAGGTCTCCTCACACTGGCTCCCATCACCAACTCCAAAGCGTGATCACTATCCGGACTTCCAACAGCCTGCTTTACTTTAAAGTCTCAAATTTGCATTCATAAACTCAGATTCCTTTATACATACAATTAACATATAGTACAAACCTTAAACTCTATTCTCTTATAAGTATGTATGCTCTTTAATTTCAAATAAAACATTTTAAAATGCCACTCCAGAAGAGAAAAACCTGATACCCAAAAGTCATCAAGAATGTCAAGACACACCTAGGTATGAAGCTCTACCATCCATTACAGATGTGCTAACTAACATAAATCTAACAGAGAAGCCAGTATGTCTACATGGCCCCTAAGTCTCACCTCAATTTGGTTTTTCACAGATATTACAGAACCTCTCCTAGTATGATTATTCCTTTTTTTGATCTGTTAGTATAAACTATTGCAGTTAAACAAAAAGATATAAAGAATACTCTAAAGAACATCTGTAAGCCCTCTAACCAGCTAAAGAAAGAAATAAAAAGAGTAGAAAGAAAACCCAAGATGTGGATGGACAGTATCATCGTGAACATGGTATATGACATTTCCATGCATATCTTTTTTTTCCTATAATTATTATTTTAATACAGAGTCAGGGTCTCACTATGTTGCCCAGGCTGGTCTTGAACTTCTCACCTCAAGGAATCCTCCCTCCTTGGCCTCCCAAAGTGCTGGGACCACAGGCATGAGCCACCATGCCTGGCCTATCATGCACGTCTTTATAATTTGTTTACATAGGACTGTATCCATAAACTAAAATTTTAAAAAGACTGTATCCATAAATGGTATTATCACAAGTGTTTTTAAATCATATTTCCTTCAAATTTATTTTTAAATGTAGTTATATTGATATAAGTAGCTCTGCTTTATTCATTACTGCTGACAGACAGAATTCTATTGTCTGATGAAACCACAGTCCATTCTTCTCTTAATGGACATCCAGGTTGCTTACAATACTTTGCTATTACAAACAAAGCTGTAATAAACATTCATATACATTCTCCTTGGGCACATATATATAACAGTTTATAGACTGTTTAGTATATTTACAGATTCTGTTTCAGGCTGAAAAAAGAACAACATATAAATCTCATCAGGTCCTTCTGGTGTTGATTTAGTTTAAAATAGCTATAGTTAATAACAGGCCTATTTCACAGCAGGAAGACACAAAGTCATCTAAAACTGAAACCAACACAAACAACATCTGCTACAGCGAGAAATTATACCTTATAAATACCACTAAACTCATTGGTAGTGCCACTGTTTTGTCATCTGCTTCTGGAAAACCATAAATTCATTTCCTATCTTAAATTGAAAAGTTCTACATTTGGCCCCAGACAAGCACATTATTGGCAAGGCTATAAACAGAGCTGAAACACTCACCTCTTTCAATGCCCAGGTCGGATGAGTTGCAAGGATTTCATAATCTCCAGGAAGAACTTTAAAAAATGCAAACCTAAGAAACACAAAAACCACTTAACTTTCTCCAAACAACCTGAGAACTTCTATTTTATGACTAATATTGGCAGCACAAAAAAGAAAATAATGTTTGCATTATCACAAACTTGCCATTAGCTTCTTAAATGAACATGAATGAAATTCAATCCTTCACTGTACAAATCCACACCAAAGAGCACTTATTGAGCACTTACTGTGTGCAAGAGGGGGTACTCCATGGGCTGACAGGAGGGAGGAGGGTTTTATTTACCTTAATCTTAAGGATTTGGGGCATAAAACCAGCCATCGTAGTTCAGCAGGGATCACTCACAGAACATTCTAGAACATCTGAGTGGGTTTGACAGAGGTGACAGGCATGAATAAGAATGTCTAAAGGAACAAGTGGGAAGGGGAGTGGTATGAAAAGAAGAGAGGACAGACCCGCAGGCTGGATGTCCCCTGACACGCGATGACACTGATGATATGGGCAGGGGCAGGGTGAAGGGTGACAAGTTCTGAATCCCACACGGAAGGGCTCAGATTCCTTATCAAAAGCAAACGCAAGCCATTCTGGGCTCAAAGCAGCTGTGAGGAAACCAGGAGGGAAGAAGCTACTCCAGCAGCTACAGACTAACCCCAGAGGGGCTGGAAAGGTCGCCAGGATGGCACCTTTAACCCTTTATACTGGAAAGGCACCTGTCAATCAGAAAGCTGACTGGTGCCCTGAACCACAAAGAGCATTCCACTTCTTCTCCTGTGGGGTCTTAATACATCAAAAGGATATAACAGGACAGGACTTGGAAACCACACTACTACAATAAGACTGAAACTGCCACTGGACTTTGGACTTAGTAAGATTTCGCTTATGCCTCATTTCCATCGTAGTCCAGTGCTGCACATTACTGTCACTGTTTTAGTTAGTGCAGATGAAAAGGATTCAAAGGCACAAGTCACTTTTTTCCAATAAGGTCAACAACAAACAACTAGCCTAGAAAAGAATTACAGCCTCACATCCCTGCTGCAGAGCAAGGCTAGAAAGGCGCCAGTCAAGCGGAAGTGATAATGTTTCAAAAATGAAAAATAATTTCAACAATAACTTTAAAATTAGATGACTTACTGGAAGACTCATTATAAACTCCTATTTAGCAATCAGTCAGTTTTGTACATAGAAGTAGTTAGTAATCATTTGAACACTTTCAGAATTATCAGTTTGACCTATTCTGGTATAATCTTGGCACATGTGTTAACATTTACAACTCAGCTATAAAAATCCATTAAATAAGCACTTTAAATTTGACTCAGCAGGTTAATTAAATAATCATCAGTTCCAACTACCAACAGTTTTGATATAATAGTGAAAATGTGATTTTTTAAAAATCATAACTGACCTAATCCATATTGCGCAAACATTTATTAAGCACATTCTGCATGCCAGGCAGTTGGAAGCAATAATGTTAATTTAATCTTCTCAGTAACCATAGGGGGTAGGTGCCACAACTATCTTCATATATAAAAGAAGACACTGAGGTGCAACAGGATTAAGTAACGTGCCCCAGGTCAAAGAGCTAACAAATGGGGGAGTCAGGATTTCAGCTCAGGCTGTCAGGCTCCAGAACCAGTCCGAACTGTTTAAATAAAGGTCTACTAAGTGCCAGGCCCAGCAACAGGGGCTTTATGGGCACTAACTCATATTTAATCATCCCATCAGTGCTCAGCAAGATGGCTCCAACAGCTTCCACTTTCCACATGAGGAGCTTAGCGTTCTGAGGAGCATGAACAGCCAAAGTTAGGATGTGAATCCTAGGTCTCCTTGAATCAAAACCACCCCCCACTCCATCACAGCCAGGCTCTGACAAAAGGCTGGAAGCCAGGACGCACTCACTTTCCGCCAGGCTGCGAAACTGTGGACTGGATTTTCGCTTCAGTCCCTGTGTTTCTCAGAGACACTTGAACTCCCGCAGGACCCAGGGGCTGCCCTTTGCTGAGGACCTGTCATGGAGAAAAAGGTTAGGCCCCGTCAGGCAGCAAAGCACCCTTCTGGCAAAGCACTGTCAATCCTGCTCATGCCACCAAGTGGAGGCTGGTCCAAGCACCCTGTTGAAAAGATGATATAAATCATGGATACAAGGCCAGGCACATGGTTCACACCTGTAATCCTAGCACTTTGGAAGGAAGAAGCGAGAGGATTGCCTGAGCCCAGAGGTTCAAGACCAGGCTGGCCAACTTGGCAAGACCTCATCTCTACAATTAAAAAAAAAAAAAAGCCAGGCCTGGTTCCAGCTATGGTGTGTGTGTGCCTATGGTTCCAGCTATTTGGAAGGTGGAGGCGGAAGGTGGAGGTGGAAGAAGGATCACCTGAGCCAAGCAGGTTGAGGTTGTGGTGGCCGTGATTGTGCTACTGCATACTCCACTCTTTCTGGGAGAAAGAGTGAGACACTCACTCAGAAAAAAAATCATGGATAGCCTTCCCGGGGGTGGGATGGGAAAAGAAACAGGAACAGTAAAATAATACTCTGTTTCACTGAACCTAAGATGTCATCAGTTAAAGATGTACCATTATTTTATAAACCTCTGAGAAAGAAAAAAATACCTAAGATCCACATCTCTAATAAGAAACCCACACATACAGCTGGGACCAAAGGGCCTTACCCTCAATACAGAGGTAAAAAAAGAAGTCAGCCATGAAGAAAAGGACAGCAAGGAAATCTGTACAACTCAACCTTGGCACAGGATGGATGCAGGAATGAAATTATCCCCCAAGGACCTGAACTATCACTCAACCATTAGCGCTGTCAATTCCCACTACCAAGGCAGGCCCAAACAATCAGAAGAATGTAAATACTGAGAATACTCCCAGGTGAGCAGCAGAAGCAGCAGCAAACCCTCTCTGGAAGAAGCCAATTTAGCTCACCCATAGGGCTGACAGGGTGCCACACATGCTCATCCAACTCTGGCATAAACGCTGCCAGACTCTACTCTGTGGCGAGGGGACGCCTAAATCTGACTCCTAAAAACGGCTGTCATGTTCTGCAAAGAGTGGAGCATTCCCAGGCTCTCCTCAAGCTCCCCTATGGGCCCCACGGGATCAAAAGCACTCAGGTTAAAACATCCGGCTTTTTCTAAAGGTTAAGAGAAGACAGTGTATATGACAGAGCAAACATGAAAAACAACAAAGCTCCAAAACCAAACCTTTCCGTTCACAGAGAACCCCGTGAACACAAAGTTGATGTCCCCGCCCTTGGTGCAGATGTCGTTGACACCATCCACATACAGCTCCACGGTTGTCGGCTCTGCGAAAGAGGGGAAAGGAAGAAAACGGGACAGACACAAGGGCAAGCTGAGTTCTGATCCATGAAACAGCCCGAGGAAAGCACATCGTACTGTTTCGTGTTTACTTATTTATTTTTGGACATTTAATACTCTCGTGTGGTTCAAAATCCAAAGGTACAAAAAGGAATGCAGGGAAAAGTCTCCCTCGCCTCTATCCCCCCAGTCACCTGGCTTCCTGCCCCAGAGGACACAAGTGCTTAGAGTATAAAATAATTTTAAAACAGTCTTGCAGCCAAATTATGTCTCAGACTCCCACTGTAAATTCAGTGAAACCAAGTAATTTTATTTACTGATGCTCACCACAGACCACGCATTCAGCTGAGTGCACTAAATTCTCACAATTGTCTTAAGAGGTAGGTAGTAATGTCTGCAATTCATTGATGCACAAACTGAGACACCGAAAAGTTAAAGGATCTCCCAAGTTCACAGAGCTTGTAAGTGACAGAGCCCGATTTGACCTTAAAAGTCTGGCTCCAGATCTGTCCCCTCACGTTAAACCACAGACGGTGATACCACAGGAGCCCAGTGGGCATGACGTGAGTAACCCAAGCAGGGGCCATGGCAAATTGCACGGGGGCACTGCCACTCAACTCTGCCAACTGCTGCTGTGTGACCCAGTGTTGCAGAGATACAGGAAATCTGGATTTTATATACCATCCCCTCATTTTTCTGCATCATCAATTAACTCCTTTTTTTAAAAAAAACTGACAAGTATATCGTAATAGGGGTTAAAGTTGACTTTGTTGGTTTTGGTTTTTTTAAAGTACTCAAGTCTTATAAAGTTGAGAGTTTCTAAAAGGTTAAGAAGAATGTGAAGTAATGAGCAGAGAAGAAAATGAAAAAAAACAAGAGATTTTCAGGTAAAATGAAGAATACACACATGTGTGTGACACACATACACACAGAAGATTCCATTAAAAAGCAGGCAAAAGATTAGAACATGTGTCTCATAAAAGAGGCTATCCAATCAGAACTAAAGATAAGAAAAAGCATTCAACTTCATTTGGATATCAGAGAAACGCAGATCAAGACCAAATGAGATATCACACCCCCTACAGAATGGCTGAAACGAAAAACCACACCAAAGGCCAAGCGTGGTGGCTCATGCCTATAATCTCAACACTCTAGGAGGCTGAGGCAGGATGACTGCTTGAGTCCAGGAGTTCAAGATCAGCCTGGGCAACATGGTGAGACCTCAGCTCTACAAAAAATAGAAGAATTAGCCAGGTGTGATGGTGCGTGCCTATAGTCTCAGCTACTCAGGAGGCTGAGGCAGAAGGACTGCCTGAGCCCAGGAGGTCAAGGCTGCAGTGAGCAGTGATCATTCCTGGGCAAGAAAGTGAGATACAACTCAAAAAAAAAAAAAGGAAAGAAAGGAAGAAACACCGTACCAAGTACTGGTGAGGATGTAGAGTGACTGGAACTTTTGCACACTGCTGGCATAATACAAGTTGGTTGACACACTTTGGATGTTTAGAAATATCTACTAATAAAGCTCAGCACACGTAGATTCTATTGCCCAGCAATTTCACTCCTGGTATATACTCAACAAAAATGCAAGTATGTGTGTACCAAAAAATATGTACAAGAATGTACACAGGAGCACCATCCTTTGTGGTCAAAATCAGGAAGAAGCACAAATGTCCACCAACAGTAAGATATGACTGGGCACAGTGGCTCACACCTGTAATCCCAGCACTTTGGGAGGCAGACACAAGAAGATTGCCTGAGCTCAAGGGTTGGAGACCAGCCCAGTCAACTCAGTGAGACCTCGTCTATACAATAAATCAAAAACTTAGTTGGGCATGGTGGCACATGCCTGTAGTTCCAACTACTTAGAAGGCTGAGGCAGAAGGATCTCCTGAGCCTAGCAGGCCGAGGCTGTGGTGGCCATGAGCATGCCACTGCACTCCAGCCTGGGTGACAATGAGAATCCAACTCAAAAAAAAAAAGAAAACAGTAAGGTACATCTTACATTCATCATCCTATTTTGTTCACTTTATACCTCATTTTATATTCATACATCAGAATTCTGTACAGCAAAGAGAAAGAAAGAGAGCCACACATAATACACATGAATCTCACAATGATGAGAGAAATAAACCAAAAACAAAAAGGTACACTGTGTGATTTTAACCATATAAAGTTCAAAACAGACCAAATAAACCTCTAATTTTAGCAGATCAGGTTGCTGGTCACCAGGGAATGAGGCAGGATGGCCAATGAGTGCTCATGGTGGGGCACTTCTGGATGCTGGTAAAGTTCTACCTCAACATCTGGGTGGTGGCTGCATGTGTATGCTCACTGTGAAAAGTCATCAAGTGACACCCTCATGCTCAGTGCACTCTTCTGAAAGTATTCAACTCAAAAAGCCAGTCAAAGAAAAAGCACCAGCAGGAGGGAGGGGCTCAAACAAAACACTCCCACAGACCACCAATTTGGAACTGCTGCTCTAACCACTGCTTGGTCTGGAGTCCCCTCCAGCCTTCCAGAATGTACCAGCCAGGTGCCACCCCAACTGCGAACTGAGAAAGAGCTGCCCTCACAGAACCAAATTCACTGTTGGCTGCCAGGGCTTCACTTTGCCCTTCACAGTGGCAAGGATTAAATTCTTCCTTGTTTAATGCACAAGCAGTTCTGATATGAACTGTAGCCCCCACCCCTCTGCCTGGGTTCTCCCATGCCCATGCTCCCAAAACATCAAGAGTCTCCACTTCATAAACATCAGTCATATGAAACAGACCCTCTTCTGATCTCAACCCCGTTCCTAACTCTCCAACTATGTTAGAAGGCAGTTACATCAGGAAAGTTTTGAGCTTTTTTGTTTGTATGTGCGAAAAAGGGCTGCTTTTAAGTATTGAGTGCTTGCTAATCATGTGTCATGCACTTTACATTGACCCATTCATCCTCCAGGTACCCTGTGGGGCAAGGATTGTAAATACCCTGACTCCTGGTGAGGCTAACACAGGGAAAGTAACTTGCCCAAGGTGTCAGGTAACTGGTGAGGTCCAAGGTGGACAGACCTTCTGATTTCTTAAGAGACGTAGATCTGGGTTTTTATATTAAATCTCATGTCTAAATGTTGCGATTAATTCTTTAAAAAAATTAAAAAACAAGGAAAATTGAAGTGGCTAAAAAAGAAGTCCTTCTCTCCTGATTTTTATACTGTTGACTGCCATGTAGTGAGTGAAACTGCAAAAGAAGAGTTTGCGAAGTGGTACAAGAAAAGATGCCTATTCTAAAAAGAAGCCAGAAAGCCTTAAGGTAGATTAAGGTAATCCAAACCACTCCACAGTGGCAAGAGAGAAAAATACACACAAACCCTCTTCCACACTAGAAATGATTCCTAACACTTTAACAGTCTAGGCACTCTGCCCATCGAAATTAATATTCAATATATAACCCAGTCTCTTACAACAGCAATCCTCATCAGGGACCCATTTCGTGGAAGACAATTTTTCCATGGACCGGGGGAGGAGAGGGCTGGGATGATTCAAGTGCATAACAATTATTATGCACTTTATTTCTACTATTATTACATTGTAATATATAATGAAATAAATATACAACTCATCATAAAAAAGAGACGCAGATGGAAGTGGTAAATAAAAAAAAGGGCAGGCCACGCACAAACTAAAACAAGCGTTGGATTCTGACTTAAAGTCTGCCACAAGATGCAACTGTACAACTGAGATGATAGGGTTTTGATAGTCTACAAGCAACTGATGCATTATGGTCTCTGTGCAGTCAAACCTCACTGCTAATGTTGGTCTGTATTTGAAGCCTCCCCCCAGCTCTGGCATCACTGCCTCAGGTCCACCTCAGATCATCAGGCATTGGATTCTCATAAGGAGTGTGCAACCTAGATCCCTCACATGTACAGTTCACAATAGGGTTCCTGCTCCTATGAGAATCTACTGCTGCTGCTGATCTGACAGGAGGCAGAGTTCAGGTGGTAATACAAGCAATGGGGAGCAGCTGTAAATAGATGAAGCTTCACTAGCTCGCCTACCGCTCACCTCCTGCTGTGTGATGCAGTTCCTAACAGGCCATGAACTGATACCAGTCCATGGCCTGGGGGTTGGGGACCCCTGCCTTACAAAGTAGATATGGTTATCCAATTCACTCACCAAAACTCCACCCTAGGGGAGGCTCAATCTTCAGAAGGAAATCCCCCTAAAAGGAAAAAAGAAAATGAAGTGTCCAGGAGTGGGAACTGATGACTCTGGTTTAATTTAGTTTAGTGCTATCATTTAATCTAAAATTCTTAAGCCTAAAATGAAATTCTAAGAGTAAGCAGTGTTCTTCTAAATAGCAGTGAGCTGCCTGACTCTCTTCAGATGCTACAAGTTTGAAGCTGGACACCAGGAGTTTCCATCTGAAGACAGTGCTGAAGCCCACTTGTATTCAGTCACTCACTGTTTTCTGATACCAAACATACTACTAAGCAAGTCTCCCATTAATGCACGTGCAAGTGTTAGCCCTCATCTTTGGAAACTGAAGTCACTTCTTAAAAACAAATTTTCTCATCAGCCCTGGTTTCTTGATACCAATACTGTTAAAAAATACTTAAGTAGAGATTTCAATACCCAGCTAGTCCACTTTAGAAATCAACCCTATGCCTTCAGCATAAAAACGTAAGTTCAATAATATTTCCTGGTGTGTTATTAGTAATAATAATAATTTTAAAATTGGAGAAAGTCTGTACATCCATCAACAGAGAAGTGGTTAAATAAATTACAGTTGGATTTGACTTGACATATGCAGCCATTGAAAAGAAGGCAGTAGATCTATATGATGCTGACAGTGAACGCACACAAGAAAAAACAAATTGAATGTCCCATTAATGAAAGCATCACTTTAACTGCAAAAAATGAAACTGCAGAATTCCTATTGTTTAATTCCATCTGTATAAAAAATTAAAATCAAAACCATTATACTATTTTTGCAACTTCCTATGAATCTATATCTTCAAATTAAAAGTTTAAATGTGAAGAGGATGGAATTGTGTAAGTAGAGGTGTTTGTGGCACTCATCTTTATGCACATGTTTGTGTGTCTGCATATATGTATATACATATGGATCTGTGGATATCTGAATAACCATAAATAGGAAGCAATGTATGTGGATGTATACCAACTTTTAACAGAATTTATCACTTCAGAGGGAGGTGGAATTGGAGGTAACAGAATATGACTTTACTTCACATACTTCTAAAAATCTTGACTTTTTCCCACAAAGCTCATAAGTTCACATATGACTTGTATAATTTTTTAAACAATATTTTAAGCTGCTTGCAAGTAAAGGGTTCTATTAAATCAGAGTTTCTCACCAGGCACAGTGGCTCATGCCTATAATCCTAGCACTTTGGGAGGTGGAGGCAAGAGGATTGCCTGAGCCCATGGGGTTGAGACCAGCCTGGGCAACTTGGCGAGTCTTCGTCTCTACAATAAATCAAAAAAATTAGCTGGGTGTGGAGGTACATGCCTGTGGTTCCAGCTACTTGAAAGGCTGAGGTGGAAGGATCGCCTGAGCCTAGTAAGTTGAGGCTGCGGTGGCTGTGAGTGTGCCACTGCTCTCCAGCCTGGCTGACAGAGTGAGACACTGACTCAAAAAAAAAAAGAAAATGTGTATCAGAGCTTCTAAACCCTGGCCCTACTGAAGTTTGGGCTGTGCTAGGCAGCAGCAGTATTCTGAGCTTTATTCCCAGCCTCTACTCACTGAGTCGCTGCAGCACCCTCTCCACAGCCAAATGTCTCCAGACATTGCCAAAGGCCCCTGGAGATGTGGAGTGCCACTGTATTCAATCAAACTGGCTTGTAAGTTATCTCCCTCAGAATTTGGCAAGGAGCACCACAGTCCACTAACAATTTACAAAACAGATGAGCTCTTGCTAGTGTAAGCGCAGCACTGCAAGGCACACAAATGACTTCCCTCCATAAAAGACAAGCAGTGAGATAGACGTGCCCACTCCGCTTACCTTATCATACAAAGGGATCATAAAGTAGCCATTATTCGGGGCACAGTCTGTCTGGTATTTCAAAGTCCCATGCTTGGTGTACAACTTTATCTGGAAAGGAAAGAAAGAGAAGTCATAATAGCACCTTTGAGAATTAACTATATACATTTCACCGGAATGTACACAGTGTGCATTTGCTAAGGACCTACTACACGCTAGCTTGTAACACTGGGCATTAGGGACAGAGGAAAATATGACAAAATCTCCCCAAAAGAATATGCTCCATGTGTTTCCAATTCGAAACCACCAAGAGCCTAACTCAAAGCCTTATTTTTCAATGCTTTTCGGTTCATTGTAGTGGCTGCCTCCAGGTTGCTCCTGCGAGTTTCTAGGTCCAAAACAAGTGATTACACTTTGCTGTTAGTAAGGTGCTTATAAAATGCAGACTCTGGAGGCCCACCTCTACTTCTCAACTAAAAGGTCAAGGATGACAGTCAGGGATCTGCATTATTAACTCTATTTAATTTCAAGTATTCGGAGTAACTTTCATCTAGAAACTCAGCTTTCCTATCACTTTCATTCTCAGAACAAAAATAAACCAAAAAGACCTTATATGTCTTCTCCTCAAGGACTTACATCCTGAGCACTATCAGATACAAACTGTTAACGCAGTAAGATGCTCAAACCATATCTGGGTCTTCCAAGTACTGTGTGACCTTGGGTAAGTCATTTCACCTCCTGAGGTTCAGTTTCTTCATGGGTAGAAAGAGCCACAGCCCATCATGGCAGCTGCACAGATTCACATCAATGTAAATTAAGCGCCTGGCTCAGAGTATGGACTCAAAAAAGCAGATTGTACTACTATTTAATACCACTCCAAGTAATAAGGCAACACTGTGTGATCAGCAGGTATAGGCTAGGTTAAAAGAAAATTCCCTAAACTTACCTGCATGACTCAACCATTCTGAGCCTCAATTTCCACATCTGTAAAAGGAAGCAGTTGGGTCTGAGGACATCTGAGAGCCTCACTTCTAAAATGTTAATGTTCCATGACCACTATAACATCATGACAGAGTCAAATCTTAACCAGCTGAGATGTCTAAGGCAACATACTCACAGCACAAGCACTGCGGAAAAGAACTGTGTGAAGCACCACACCAGCTGTAGGCTCCCTGAGAGCAGTGACCGCAGCTCACACTCCTCAGCATATGGGACAGTGTCTCATTTACAAACGTAATACTCAATAAATTTGTTACAGGTTATGCAGAAACCCAGATGCACGCATTTAAAACAAAGACTAGAAATTTACCATCCTGAAAGGGCTAGGGAGCCAGTATCAGGGACACTCATCCAAAGGGATTCAGGTCACTATGCAGCCCAAGTCAAGTTGTACAGCCCAATGATCAGCTGTTTTTTCCAGAGAAATAAGGAATCCAGCTTTTAATACATAATCTCCCGATTGCTGAAGTATTAGCAAGCAATATGATTCTTCTTTTTAACAGTAAGTTAAAGAATAGAATATCAATTCCATAATAGTAGGGATTTTTGTCTGTTCACTGTACTGCTATATCCCTACCTCAGACATTCAGTATCTGCGGGGACTCAAAACAAATTGTTGCTCCCTGAATGAAAATGATGTAAAAACACCCAGGAGGGAAGAAGGCAAAAGAGGAGTGAAGGTAGTTGTATTGGAGCACAAAACACAATTTAGAAATGACCATGAACTATCTTATCTACATTTCTTTCATAAAATACAGATCAGGACACAGGATGGCAATAAAAATCTACATCAAGATTACATGTGAAATGTCTGATTTCACAATCAGAAATTATGAAAGAATGAGTGTTTTAAACCATCTGGACAGGCAGCCCTATGGCTAGTGTTTCATAATTGGTCACAAAACTTGCTCTCTGCTCTCAAGGCCACTATTAGTAGTGGGAGAGTGGAGAGGGGCCCTGTCTTTCCTTCCTTTTGGAACCCCAGGAAACTAAAAGTTGCAAACACCTCTCAAGGCAGCTTCTGAAATGCCCTGTACCTGCACACTGAGAGACAAACCCAGGAGGTGGCAGGGCCACCAGCAGATCCTAGGACCCCAGGCACTGCCAGTGGGTAGAGTCATTCAATGCCTGACCCCTTAAGACTAAAAAGGGAGAGCAGCAGCAGACAGAGAGGCCTTGAAGACCAGAATCGATTCTCTTCTTTAGAAACATGGCGCTGGGATCTGCTGTTTCTCACCCAACACCATCCTACAGGTACAAAAACTGGGACAGGAACAAGGTCAAAGAGCTAGTGGAGTGTGGAATTCACTTCCCATTCCCACCCAAGACCCCATTTCCAGCAACCTGCTCTGCAGAATGCCAGCCATGGGGTAGCACAAGATGCGTTCGGATAGCTTTGGGGTCTTCTCCCTCCTTCTTGGCATTTTCCAGCTCTTCCTTAGTTTTCTCTCAAATTATCTCCAAGTCACCTGTTCTTAGCCTCATCCACTTCCCTTCCCCTCCCAAAAAGGAAGCCCAGTCCTTCAAGAGGTCCCTTCCAATCTGCCCTGACAAGTGATCTTCTGCCTCTACCTCCATCCTTCTCTCTCCTCTTCAAGGCTTTCTGGGTTATAATCCCACTGGGCTGATAATAGGACTTCACAATTTAATTAAAAAATAAAACAAAAACTTCTGCACAAATCTCTAGGGCAATTCCAATAATCACCTGCTAAAGCAATCAGGGCAGCTGACAAGGGGGTGAGGGGCAGGATAAAAATACAGATTCCCAGCCCCAGAAATTTCAATACTGACCTACTACTGGGTTAGAATCCAGTAGGGATAGGAATCGATGCTCTTTGAAAGCACCCCGGAGGCTTTGGAGGAGCAGTGGGTTAGAACTTTGGGAAATAAGATATGTGGGCTCTAGATTCTAGAATATGGATTTTGGGAGATCTGAGTGGTTCTGGGGCATCTGAGGTCTAAATTTTGAAGCAATGAGGGTCTGGACTCCAGGAGATTTGGGGACTGGGTATTGAGAATCTGGGGTATGGGATCCGGGAATCTTAGACCTGGATTCTGGGGATCTGGAGCGGGGGTGCTGAAGAACCTGGGGTCCGGCGGCCCCACTTCGGAGCTGATCCCGGAGTAAGCCCCTCCCGTCCAGCGTGCCGAGGGTGGGGTGTGGCGAGGAGAGGACTCCCAAGAACCTGGGGCTGAGGGAACCCCCCCAGGGCGGCCCAGAGAGGCCGTGCGCCGGGCCCAGGGCCACACCACGGGTCCGCGCCGGCCGGGGCGGGCGCTCACCTCGATGAGCGAGTAGTTGATCTCCACGTCCGACTTCACGAAGCCCCCGCAGCCCACCACGATGTCTTCCGAGCCGCGCGCCGGCCCCACGCCGCTCAGCAGCAGCACCACCGAGGCGGCGACTACCACGGGCCCCGGAGGCCCAGCGCCCGGGATCGACCGCATGGCCCGGCCTCTCCTGTCCGACCCTCCGCAGGCCGCCCGGTCCCGCCCCTCACACTGCACGCTGCCGGGTCCTTCCTCCTCGACAGCCGGCTGACAGCAAGGCCCCGCCCCACTCCGCGTCATCACGCATGCGCGCTGGGCCCCGCGGCCACACACCCCAACCCCCCCAGAAGAGAGAACTACAGCGCACGCTCAGCAAGAAACTAAACCGTTTGTGCCCTCTGGAGGCATGGAGGACCCCCGCGCACCACCTGGTAGGTGCGGCGCAATGTGCATCACAACCTGCAAAATCTCTGAAGTTGATTTCTACTTCAGAAATCGATATCACAGGAGATTTTATTGATCGAAGCATGCAACAACTTTCTCAAGTCTTTTGATCTATCTATTTCATAAGCAAAATATACAATCTCAAAATACTCTCTAGAGCCGGTCACCCAGCACTTTGGAAGACTGAGATGGTAAAATCGCTTGAAGCCTGGGGTTCGAGACCAGCCTGAGCAATATAGCGAGACGCCGTCTCTACAATAAAATAAAATAAAATAACAAAAGCAGTCGGGCGTGGTAGCACTCGCATGTAGTTTCAGCTACTCGGCAGGCTGAGATGGGAGGATCGTTTGACTCCAAGAGTTTGAGCCTGCCGTGAGCTTCAATCGCACCACTGCATCCTAGCCTGGGCGACAGAGAAAGATCTTATCAAGAAAGAGAGAGAGAGAGAGAGAGAGAAGGGAGGGAGGGAGG